CACACCCAGCTAATTTTTGTATTTTTAGTAGAGACAGGGTTTTACTATGTTGGCCAGGATGGTCTTGATCTCCTAACCTTGTGATCTGCCTGCCTTGGCCTCCCAAAGTGCTGGGATTACAGACATGAGCCACTGCGCCCGGCCTATTCCTTTACTTTCTTAATAAACTTGCTTTCACTTCCACTTTACTATGAACTTGCCCCAATTTCTTCTTGCACAAGGTCCAAGAACTCTCTTGGGGTCTGGTTTGGGGCCCCTTTCTGGTAACACAAGTATTCTGGATTGAGATCATATTTTCAGTCACTATGCTTTTCAAAGCATAACTTTTTACAATTCCACACAGTCAAAAAGACACAGCTTGGTCTTCCAGAGAGCTGTGCCTGAAGGTGAACCTCAACATTACTGAAGGACCAAGGGCAGTCATTTAGTTTCTCTACAATTCTGTTTCCTCCAAGACAGCATGAGGAGATCCAAACTACAGACTTCATGGAGCTTCTGGAAGGATAAAACAAATTCAAGTCTGTTTAAGAAATGCTTTGAAAGCTGTAACATGTGGCATAAATGAAATATTGCCTTAAGGCAGGTTGGAAAATCCTTAAACCCAAAATAAGAAAATAAACTTTTTTTTTTTTTTAATGCAAATACCTTCTAGCAACTTGGCAGATCGCCTGGAAAGGCTGAGAAATCTGTCAAGGAGAGGGTTGGTTTTGTGTATCTGTCATGCTCCACTGAAAAAGGGAGGTATTAATTGAAATTAATTGAAAGAGCTTATACCTGTGCACTTGGACGAGAATCATTATTATCAAACCAGGAGTAGCAGCAACCTGCATTGCCCACAGGAACCGCGCAGGCACAGAAGTTTTGGGGTGGGTCAAGGAACGCAAAGCTCAGAGTGCAGGAGAGGTGGGGACTTTGGCAAACCAGCAGCTCCAGCGCCAGCTGCCCTGCAGAAACGTGAGCCCATTCTTTCACACGCGTACAATTTCCCAAATTTCCAAGAGTCCTCACACTTACAAATAAAACATGTCAGGGGCCACCAGTTGGCCTCCTGGGATCCAGCCCTCAGCTGGAAGTGACATCTGACTCTTTTAAGATGCTTCCTGGCCAGGTGTGGTGGCTCACGCCTGTAATCCCAGCACTTTGGGAGGCCAGGCTGGGTGGATGGCTTGAGATCAGCCTGGCTAACATGGCAAAACCCTGTCTCTACTAAAACTACAAAAATTAGCCAGACCTGGTGGCACGTGCCTGTAGTCCCTGCTACTTGGGAGGCTGAGGCAGGAGAATAGCTTGAACCCAGGAGACAGGGGTTGCAGTGAGCTGAGATCACACCACTGCACACCAGCCTGGGCGACATAGAGACTCCGTCTCAAAATGAAGGGGGGAAAAAAAAAGATGCTTCCTCATAATTATGTACAAGCCACAGTTTAGCCTTCTTTCAGTTAACTCCACCCTGCCCTGCCCTTCCCACCCATCGCCTCCTTCCCCTTCCTGCTTCCTCAACTTCACTCCACCCCTCCAGTGAAGCCAGCTTTCCTTCTTCCTACTCCCGGCCTCTCCTTTCCTTCTTTTTAGCTCATACTCGGTTACCTTTAAAGCACAAAGCAGCTCTCCTCCCCTGCGTGCCAATCAATGCCAACATTCTTCCTGCCAACGTAATCTCAACCTGCTGCCCTCCTCCAGCACTGGGATAATTTTTGCAATTTAGTGTGGTTCTTATGAAGGAAGGTGGGTTATAGCCAGCTCTCGATCTCCCATAGTAAAAGAAGACAGAGGGGAAGTACAGATAATCCTACAGAAGAGACCCCCACAAAGTCACCTGGCTCTGCCTTTAGCCTTGGGTGGGTACACAGGTCCAAAGCACACCACTGCAGTCCCCTGTGCCATGTTGGTGTTGATGCTCCCAGAGGAGGCTGAGATGAGCTAACCAGTGGCCTGGAGAAAGACTTGGAGAGGATTTACAGAATTCTGCCTCCAGCCAACGCGGGGGTGACCAGCCTGGCTGCTACCTCACAGCCATCATTCACTTCTCAAAACAGGGAGGGACTTTTGGGCCCTGCAGGTATCCACGAAGCTCTGGCCAGTGTGCCTGCAGCAGCCCGGAACCCCTTCCCCAGCTGCCCCCTCGATTAGCTTTGTCACCTCATCCCCAGCAAGCCTGTGGCTAAAAGGCAGTTTCAGTTTTACTTTCTCTGCCTTCACGTGACCTGGGAGTTCTCAAGGGCAGTGACAAGGACTGAAAGGGCCTTGCAGGAGAGAGAACAGAGGACAAACACTGCCAATACCTGATGTGTTCTGTCCATCCTCAGGTGCTATCTGGCTTGAGCCAAGCCTTGATTTTTCAAGGAGAGGAACAGTTGGGCCTCAGTGGAGAATTTCAGGGAATTTTCTGCCTTGCTCACTGGTTTTGCCCTGCCATTGTCCTGCGGTGGGCTCCCAGAATACCCTTGGGCTTCTTAGGTGGGGTGGGGCAAGGTGGATGTCGCCTGGGGCAGAAGGAGGGACTGTGCTGTGCTCTGTTCCCTTCTGACTTACTGTTTGTTTGGGGCGTCTGGACGAGGGCTACAAACAGTTCTTCTCTTTGTTTCCACGGCCTTGCAGAATGTGTGCTTCCCTCAAAAGGGCATAAAGGCCCCCTTTCTTCTGCTCGCCCGCGCCATGGGGGGTTGTTGTGCAGGACTCGGGTCTACAAGCTGGGGCCAGCCCTAAGCGCTGACTATGGCAGCTCCATCCGCTCCCACAGCCTGAGCTCACGTGGCCCATGCAGCAGCGTGCTCTCCTCGGCAGCCCGCCCGCCCCAGTTCTTAAAGCTGCAGAGCTGCTGGCAGCTGGCTGGCTCCTGCAAGCCCAGTTCTCCCTGCAAGAGTTAACTTGCTCTCCCTGCGTCAACAGAGGCATAATTTTGAAAAATCCTGATGGCTGGGTCACAGCCCCAGAAATGCAGATGTAATTGATCTACGGGTGTATGGCCTGGGCACTAAGGATTTTTGAAATCCCTCAAGTGATTCCAATGTGCAGCTGATCTGGCGAATCGCCATCTGTGCTGTTCAAACTTTAGTGTGCACTGGGATCACTAGGGGATCCTGTGAAAGTGCAGGCTTGATCCAGAAGATCTGGGGTCAGGCAGAGATTCTGCATTTCTAAAAAGCTCCCACAAGACACAGCTGCTGGTCCGTGGGCCACACTGTGAATAGCAAGGGTGATGCTTTGAGCTTGGATCTGCATGCTGCCACCCACGTTTAGAGGTCTTGGTAAGTTTCTAGGCCTGTTTCCTCCTCACTTATCTTGCTTGGCTGCTCTGAGGATTGACTGAGATAATAAGCATTATGCACTAGAACAGCATCAGCACTTAGAAAGTGCTCAAAAGATGTTGACTATGACCATGATTTTCTCCTGATCTGTTTTTCTCCTGCTTCAAAGCCATCAGGACTTACCTTTGGACCCAGTACAACTGACCCTTGGACAACGTGGAACGCTGAACCTCGTGCAGTCAAAAATTCATGTATAACTTTTGCTGTTGTTGTTATTTTGACACAGAGTCTTGCTCTGTCACCCAGGCTGGAGTGCAGTGGCACGATCTCGGCTCACTGCAACCTCTGCCTCCCGGGTTCAA